TGTGTGTGTGTGTATGTGTGTATGTGTGTGTGTGTGTGTGTGTGTTTGAGTGTGTGTTGCTGTGGGTGTATGCATGTGGGGAGAGCTAAAGGTCAACAATGAGTATTTGCCTTCACTTGATTCTCACTGAACCTGGAGTTCACTGATTGGCTGGGTTGGCTGGCCAATAAGCTCCTGGGATCTGCCTGTCTCTGCCATCTGCCCTCCCACTAGCCTGTGATTATAGTGACACTGTCCACCCACAGCCTCTCCATGGCTTCTGGGGATCAAACATGAGTTCTTATGGTTCCCTAGCAGGCACTTTAGGGACTGAGACATCTCTTAAGCCCCAAGAGAACAAGACTGAAGACAAAGTGAGCCTGGCACCAGGCTGAGTCAGAGTCCACATGATCACATGAGTGTGACTCACAGAGACCTGTTGATGGATGATGGCATCCCCTGTGGCAGATTAGCAGCTGAGAGAGATGAGGATAATGGGCACAGGCCAGCAGCCTCCAAACAGCCTATGACCCTGACACACATCCTCCACGGCCTGAGCCCCTCGTGCAGCATGTGAGGAACGCAAGCCACGGGAGCCATGCCAAAAAACAACTTCTTAAAAGAGATTCTTATTCCGTAGCCCAGCCTGACCTCAGACTCACTGTCATCCTCCTGCACCAGCACTGGGTTCTGTAATTACAGGCATGATCCACCATCTCCAGCTAGTAAAGGTACTTTCTCTGTGACCCATCATTAGTGAGAATAAACTGTCAACTGTTGGTGCTTCCACAAGGGCTTACTCCAGTTAAGAAATTCACTCCCCTGATCACAATTCATTTACTAAGTGCTCATTGTTAGTAAGGCATCTGTACCCTGCCTTTGGGGTTCTGACAGGATTCGCACTTAGCTGCAGCCACTAAGAGCACCACCTGTGCACATTCACTACGTTCCTCCCAGTTCTTATCTTCCCTTTTCAGTAAAATTACAAAAGCGAAAAGCCCCTCCTTGTCCCTTTTACTCCCCTCACCCACAGAAACCTCTCTCTCTCTCTCTCTCTCCTCTCTCTCACCCTCTCTCTCTCTCCCCAACACACACACACACACACACACACCTACTGGAGCTAAGGAAACTTCAAAAAAGCCTCATGTTTATATTCACAGCCACGTCTTAGTTAGGGTTCTGTTACTGTGAAGAGACTCCATGACCACGGCAATTGTTATAAAAGAAAACATTTCACTGAGGTGGCAGCTGACAGTTCAGAGGTTTAGTCCATTATCATCTCGACGGGAAACATGGTGAACGGGAGTGTGGTGGCGTACAGGCAGACACGGTCCCGGAGAAGGAGCTGAGAGTTCTACATCTTGACCCACAGGCAGCAGGAAGTGAACTGCCCTAGGCATAACTTAGCATAGGAGACCTCAAAGCCCATCTCCACAGTGTCACACTTCCTCCAACAAGGCCACACCTCCCAATAATGCCACTCCCTAAGGGCTTATGGGGGCCAATTACTGCAGTGTCATTATCTGGTCTTTCTGGGATATCAACATGGAACAGGGAGGACTGTTGGGGAGTTTTCCCTCCAGAGAAGCTAAAGGAATGTTACTTACAGCCGTGTTTCTCAGCTCTTCCCAAGCACCTCCCTCTGCCCTCCTCAGCCTGCTGGCATCTCCAGAGGGCTGCAGCTGGGAGAAGCTTCTCAGAGAGGCCTCTCCCAATCATCTCGTCCTGCAGTCAGCAACGATCTGCTCTCGGTTTGGATTTGTGACTCACCTCCTTCTCCTTGTACCAACGTAGTCCAAGAGCACGCCTTTCCTCTGACCCTTCCCCCACCGCTCTGGGTCAGAAGAGGCAGTTTAAGTGCAGTAACTGACTGGCCTTGCTTTGGAAGAAGCCACCCTATACAGCCTTTCTGTTTGACAGATAGAAAAGGAGAGAGGCATTGGTGTGGGGGTCACTGGGAGAGGGGACAGGAAGAGGCTAAAGCTCCAGGTGGCAAAGGTCTTGTTTCTTATGTACTCACTTCCCACTCTCTCCTTTAAGTATCTGCTCTTTTGTTTCTATTCCCTGGTAATCTGTTCTTGTCAGCGGGAATTGTATTGTGAATTCACACCTTGTGTTTCCCTGGTTCCCCTGTGACCAGATGAGTTCACAGACTATAGAAAGACCAGCATG